GGAAAACACTGGTCTAGACCTTGGCTTATTGCCTCTCTACGGGACCTACGGCCCTTCGAAGCTTTCAGGGCTTACCGTAAGTATGCAAAAGGGTGCGCCCGCGGCGCGCTTGGGTGGCCTAAAGCAGCACGATCTGGCCGCTCCGACTTCAGCGCTCACCAACTGCCTCCATTCTGCTCGCGCCCTCCATTCAAAAGTGGCCTCACCACCTGCCAGAGCCATGTATCCCTCCGCCGCTCGATGCGGCTCCTTTTGTCAACCCAACGGAGCCCGAGCCGGTGTCCCGGGCTCAGATACGGATCCCGCTGGGGGTGCCTGCCCTCTGCTCCGCTGCTGAAGAAGATCAACCGGGCGCCCACCACGGACTATTTTTCCTCTCCCCTCCACTCCCCCTTGCAAGAACTCCCGGACCAGCGGATGGATTAGCCACTCAGAACCATGAAAGAACGGTTGAGGATCACGTGATACCGGCTTGGCCAATGAGAAATGAGGCTCGCCTTTCGGAGAAGGGAAAAAAGACAAGGCGCTATACCGCGCCCCCTCCTCCGCCCCGCCCTTCCCTCGGCTTCTCCTTAAAGCCCTGCCCATTCTGTTTCCGAAAAGCAAATCTCATGGACGCACGCCTCCCTGAGCCTAAAAGTCCCGCCCTCCTCTTTTCCTTCGAATCCGATTGGGCAGAGGGAAAAAAAGAAGGGGAGGATTGGTGGGTGGGCACGTTGGTTAAGGAACTCGCTCTTCCGGGTTTGTAGCCAGGCTGGCAAGGCAACTCCGGAGGGAGGACATGAAGAGAGTCACCCTGTTTGTTAATGGCAGCCCCAGAAACGGGAAGGTAAGGCGGCCGATTCCTCTCTTCGCGGGGAGCGGGAACGAAGCTGCGGCGTTGTTTTTCCACACCCCTGGCCTCCCTCTTGATTCTGGGCGCTTAAGTAACCCCACGAGGTCTCTGCTCCCTGAGAGCCTACAGCAGTGCTTCTCCCCTGTGGCCGCTTTAAGATAGGTGGACTTCAACTCCCAGAATTCCCCAGCCAGCCAGGCTGGCTGGGGAATTCTGGGAGTTGAAGTCCACCTATCTTAAAGCGGCCAAGGGGGAGAAGCACTGGCCTACAGCCTAGAACAGGGAACAGCAGAGCAGGGGAGCTCTGGGGAAGGCTTCTGGGGGGCAGTGCTAGGCCAGCTTCCATGGGAGCGATTCCCACCGGATTGGATGAGACTGGAAGCGCTCAGGGGGATGCAGGAGCGCCTGCCAGCAGCGGAGTGCATCAAAGAGCATTAAAACCCTCCCTGAAAGGTCAACTTTTACCTTCTTTGGAATTCTCCTTCCCCAGAATAATTAAGCCACTTCCTCCACCGTTGCCTGGAATTCCACCCCACCCTTCCCCGAGCTGGCCACCCTCCCAGACCGGGGACTGCGAAGTCTCTTTTTGCAGACAAATCAGTGCGGTTTCTGGGACACGAAGGCGGTTGGACAGGGCTCGCTTCTAGTTTTTTTCTAAACTCTCCGAACTTGGCCGCAGCCCTAGGATTTCCTGGTGGTCTCCTATCCCCCGAGGAGTAACTTGGTCTCACCCTGTTTGGATCTCAAGATTAGTCAGCGTCAGCTAAGGGCGGCCACCTCATTTGGCAAGACTTGGAGTTCCCGTCCCTGGATTCGGCCCCGGGGAGGGTGACGAAACGTGCCGTTCAACCAATCTGAAGGGCGTGAGAATATGGCAGCGGAGGCATCGGCTAGCGCATCTGACCTGCCAAACTCTGGAGGACCGCTAGCAGGAAGGAGAACTCTTTGCAGCCATCTCATGCCTGTCCTGATTTTTTCCAGACCAGAGATGCATAGTCTTGTTAGTAGGCTTCATAGCATTAAAGTAATTAATATTTATCCCATTCCTTTTCTGGGGATTGCATTTCGTTTTGCTCAGCTGTGACCTTCAGATTTGAAATCTGTATTTAAAGCCTTTTTGACACGCCGTACAGCATCCAATGATGTGAAAGGCACAAAATGTAAGATGCCTTTATTAAAAATACAAACCATCAGAAATGTGAGGTAGTGCCAACCTTCTGGTTAAAGCCCCTTTCCTCCCCAAAGGTGCTATTAAACAATGCTGATTGTTTAACACTTTCATTTACATTTTACCCTTCCACCCAGTGGGCACTCAGTAATTTAATATAAATTACTGCAAAAGGAAGAAGGAAGTTGCATTCACACAACACTCTTAACCTGTTAATGAATTAATGCATTTTCTGCATTTGCGCAATGCATAAGCTGAATGGGCTGGGTGCATGCAAACCACAGAAATCCTAATTAAGCATAGTTGCAACCACTAGGCCTTCTGATTCCCCTAGTTAGGAATATTTTGTACCCTTAGCAAGAGTTGAGCCCTCATGCGGTCCCTATCCTTGTCTGCCTTCCCCCATTCCCAAAACACTGCTGGGTTTAATATACAGGAATATAAAGATACAATAAATGTTTATCATGGGCTTAATTAATACAGGATCACGATTTAGGGAAGGGGGGAGGAGGAATTGCAGTAGGATGAGGGATGAATTGGGCAAAGGTGTTGATTCATTTATTTAGGATAATTTCCCAATTCCAGATTAACCTATAATAGTTTAGAGTGCCGGTGAAGAGTCCCTTTCACATTAATGAAAATGCAAGCTTTGCAGCATTTTTTTCCAGCACAAGGAACAGGCATAAAGTAATGAATGCCGTATACTTATAAGTCTATTTGGAGAGCGGCTGTTTTCTCAGGATTTAAGACTTTAAAAGATCTGTGTCAGCATCTGGCTGCAGAAATAACCTATGTAAGTTTATTTTGATAAAATAGAGCTAGGCTTCCTCTGAAAATGTGTTTTGTTTTTTTTTTTAATTCTTCCACCTACTGTTTTGAAGGAGAAGAATGCAGTTCGATATACAATCCGTGTTGTTCTGCTATGCCCCACCTTCTCAGGGTAATGAAAAATTCCATAAGTCAAGGGCATACCCAGATAGGCGTTTTGCCAAAACAGCTACATCATTTTGTAATATTTGTGTTCATTTACCAATGTACAGCTTGGACGATGTAGCTTTATTCCAGCAGCAAACTCTGCGGTCAGATCCCCTGAGAATATGGTTGGGTTCACACATCACAGGAAACCTTGTACTGTAGTTTGATTTTGGCTGAGCAGGACGTGTGAACTGAGCCATTATATTTAGTGATACTTGAAATGATCTGGAGACTTATTCAATAAACGATTTGCTTGCCTGCATTATCTTTTTTTTTTTTTTAACTATTCTGTGGTTAGTGTTATGTATTAACATTGTGGCTTGTTCAGTAAATTATAATTGCAACAAATTGTGGTCACCTTGATCCTAACTTAGCATTTTCTGCCTTACAGTGCCAAATAGTGGGACAGGTAGTCCTTGGGTTAAGAACACCCAGTTTACAGACAATCCATAGTTAAGAACAGAGCCTATTGTAGCAAAATTCAAGTTAAATACACAATGATTCGTGTTAATTACACAATACTACTTATACAGTATTGTACAATAACACTGTTCTGACTTACATACACATTCGACTTAAGGACAGATCTTGGGAATGGAACTCATTCTTCAACTGGGGGCTGCCTGTATTCTTTTGACTTCGGCTTTTTGGATAACATCATGGTTGGATTTACCCAAGACGCTAAATCATAAGTCATGATTAACAAGCCATCAGGGTTGGGATCATACGTCAACACAGAACCAAACAAACCCTAGTACAAGTCAGCACAATATACAAGAGTCTTGGACTAGGGACTCTAGTGACAACTCAAGAGTGTTGGAGGTATAATCTATAAACTCATTCACTTCTTTGCTGTCATCATCTAAGAATGACTCAACAGGCAGGAATGAGAAAAGCAATATTGTCTTGGAGGGTTATGATCTAACACAAAACAAAGTGTGGGTTTGCTATTTCCAATGTTTTGTTGTAGTGTTCTTTCCTGCAATTAGTTCTTTCTCCGATGTTGTGCATCAAGGACTACTTATTTGTAAACAGCTGTCTGTTTTCTAAATTTCATTTCCCCTGCTCATTCTCTAATGCGTCACAGTACAACAAATGAACCACAATTTAGGATTTGAATATGACTCTAAACCAGTGTTCCTCAACCTTGGCAACTTGAAGACAGGTGGACTTCAACTCCCAGAATTCCCCAGCCAG